CACTAATATGCTTTCCTGTGTAAAGGAAACTGATGGAATTGCAGGCCTGTGGAGCAGGTACAGCTTTTGCCTGATCTTAAGACTTTCCTGTTTGCTTATTTACCTCCTATACTCAGTAACACTATTATGTGAGAACAGTGGGTGAGGTAATCTTAGATGAGCCACCTCGATTTCTCCCCTATAAAAAAATGGGTTAGGCTGGGCGTGGTGGTTCATGCCTGCAACCTTAGCACTTATGGAGGCTGAGGCAGGTGGATTTCTAGAGCCCAGGAGTTCAAGACCAGCCTGGGCAACATGACAAAACCATGTCTTTACTAAAAATTAGCCGGATGTGGTGATGTGCACCTGTGATTTCAGCTACTCAGGAGGCTGAGGTGGGAGGATCAGCTAAGTCTGGGAAATCAAGGCTGCAGTAAGTCACGATTATGCCACCGCACTCCAGCCTGAGTGATGGGAATGATAAAAGAAGGCTTGGCATTGCAGAAGATGTTCAATGAATATTTATTAAATAAATAAAATGGAAGAAACTGCTAACTTTGAAGGTAGCTCCAAAAACACAGCAAAAGCAGCTACTTCATGGAGGAAACCACAGCATGGAGGACGCTTGGAATTGACATGTGGTGAACTCTGTGTCACAGATCTAGCTCAGCCTCTGCTGCAGACTTGTGTCTGTGGACAAATTATTTCACCTCCATGAGTCTCAGTTTCCTCTCTGTAAAAGGAAGAGGTTGTCGGCAGTTTTCAAACTGTGATTTTCTTTTCGTGATCTAAATCTTATGAAGAATTATAATGTGCACAATAGGTAAAAGTAAACCTTCCTGGATTGCACTGGGGAGGCAGCCTGGAGTCCTGCCTGCCCTGGCACCCCTCAACTCGATGGCACACAACTTGAAAGTGACCAGGCTTATTGATCTGTTAGGTCCCTCTCCCGCCGTGACATTCAAGGGCAGTGTTAATAATCAGTGTTACAAGGAGCAGTCTGGAGGCCAGTGGAGGGTTTTTGAGGATGTATTTTGAGAAGTACTTCTTTAAAGTGTCATCTTCTCCCCTCAAACCTATTCCGATCCCTGCAGTCTCTAACCCTGTTGATGGCATTCCAATCTATGCTGTCTCATGTGCTGGAAACCTAGGAGTTATCTAAGACCCATCCCTCAGCGTCCATATCCAATAAATCACTATCTCTTTTCAGTATTGACCTCTGAATATTTCTTATACTTACTATTTCTGCTCCAGCCCCATCTTCACTACCAGAATTCAGGTCCTTATCCTCTTTCTCTTGGCCCTTATCCTCTTTCCCAACAAACTCCTTGTCAGTCTTCTGACTTTCAGCCTCCTTCCTTCCCTATCTGGTCACTCCTTTACATAATGTCTTTTATTTGTTCTCCATGACCCATAGGACAGATATCGTCTCTTTGGGAGGGCAGAGAAGCTCCCCACCTTTCCTGCCTCTGCTCCCATCTTTCTGATACTATTCTTCATGCTCTGGCAACATCAAGCTGCCTGTAGTTCTTTGGATATACCATGTAGTTTTACACCTTCACTCTTTGTGACCTAGTAATTCTTCTCCTATTTTGCCCTAAAATGTCTTCTTCCCGTCTTTTCTATCGCTAATTTCTGATTTTTCTTTAAGTCAGTGCAAGCGTCATCTCCGTAAATGGCCTTTGCTGACCCCTTAGCTGAGCTAAGGGTGTCTGTGTATTTCTTAGGACTCTGCACATTGCTACCACACTCTATTAAAATTATTTAGGCACATATGTCTCTTCTATAGATTGTAATTCATTAGAGACTAAGCCTTATTTCTTTTGATCCCTCCTATTCCCCAGTGCGTGACACCCACTAGGCACTCAGTAAGTGGCCTACCATGGGATCCTCTCTGGCCTCAAAACATCAGCTCCCTGATTCAGTGTCACGTGAGATCAGTCCAGAGATTTAAGTGGCTTCAGGGGCATGTGAAGGGCTGATGTGAAGTACAATACTTTCAAAATTTGTTTTCACATAAAATATTATGTATTTGGTCCTAGTGTTTATCATGAAGCTATTTTAAACTTCAAACGTACTGTTTGCTTTTCCTCTTAATAAACTCATCATTTAAGAAGAGAAAAGTTAAAATACTTAAGCAAATACACATTGAATAAATTTACTCAAGTAGACTTTTGGGTCTTTGAGTAAATTTCTCATTTTACCTGTGTCCTAACATGAGTGTCCTGGAGGGTGAATGGCTGCTGTGTTCTTCAACCCTGGAGCACATGAGAATCTGTCAGGAGAGCCATCCTCTTCACTATGCAAGTCTCCTCCTTGCCTGGCATCAGAGCCACCAGGAACCTAGATGGCACCTCTGTGTGAATTGGGATGGCAGCTCCTTTGGTGTGATGCAGCCCCAACGGCGTGGGGCTTAGCAATAGGACAGTGCCTTTGTGCTAAGAAAAAAGTGACTGTTCTCTTGGGAGATGGCCCCAGAGGGAGTGGAGTTGGCTTTGAGTCCCTCTAGCAGGCACCTTTGTGAAGTGCACAGACTGACCCTGCTGAGTGCAAACAAAGAGCCACACATCTCCCCCTTGCCTCACATGGTAATCTGGGGCTGCCAACCAAGCCCGAAAAGAATAGCCATGCCCTCTCTGAAGAGGATTTTGGTGGGCTTTCTTGTTAAGGCCGGCGTGCCATTCTGATGGTGCAGTGGCATACTGTGGTGCTTTCTGAGCTCTGACCCAGAGAAACCCCTTCTTTGTCACTTTGTATAGCTCATTTTGCTAAGTGACAAAGCCAAATCTGTCACAACATGAGCCAAACAAAATACCGATCACCCCCCCATATGTGCGGAACCTCTTCACTTTGACGCACTCTGTGGTAAGCGTTATTCATGAGCAGTTAATTATTGGTCTTCCTGCATAAAATGAATGTGACATTGGAGACAGATGTTTATTGTTTGTTACGTATATATATATTTTCAAAACTCCAGCTTCCAAAACTGGCTGAAATTACCACCACAAAGAACTGCCTTTGTACATGCCGGGTTGTATTCTGATCCCTGACCTGCAGGAACTGCACACTGATGGGGTAATATACACATGTACAGACTTTTCTTTTTATTGACAAGATGAATGGAGTTGCTTGAACAACTGCGCTCAGGCTGAAACAACTGCTGAGTTCCACCAGGGGTTGCTGTTGAACTTCTAAAAAAAGATCATCTTTTGGAAGAGAAGGGGGGTAGTGGCGGACAGGGAGGGAGGGATGGGAATGGGGGCAGAGGAATAGAAAAAAACAAATCTTGGAAGAAAACCTGACATTTCTGTCTGAGGTGAAGCATGCTTTGCTGATGCCACACATGGAATGTTTCGGAAGTGTCAGTAATAAATACTTCTATCAGAAATCTTCATATTCTATATTTCTGCTTATCATACCCCAAGGAGAGTCATACAAAGACATAGCTGTCAGGGTCTAATTTTGGATCTGAAAACTATGGCGGTTGTCAGGCATCTTTTCCCATGTGTGATATTTATCTTCTCTCACAAACAAACTGAGTGCAGGGTTTTTAATTAATTTCCAAGTGTCTCCCATGGTAATTTTCCCCTAATATATTAATACGATGATTTAAACCATCATTCAGAGGCAGACTTTTGGTTGAAAATCACTAAAGGCTTAGATGGCATTTAGTGTTATCAATAAGCTACATGCTCGTTGGTTTGCAAGGAATCAATAAAGTTGCCCTTTCCTCATTTTTATTTTTAGAGGCATCAATGGGATTTTATCTCTTTTAAGTATATTAAGGAAATCACGGGTGAGCTGATTTTGTTATTTTTCTTCTTTTGATTGGAGGAAGTTCTTAGGCTGTTTCTCTTATTGCTTGTGGAAGGCTTACCTTAAGACAAGTTCTTGATTTGATGATGAAGGAGTGAATTTTCTTCTTTAAATATTCCCCTTCAGAAAAACTTGATTAAAAAAAAAATGAAGTGCCAGAAATTGGCCATTGAAAGGGGTATACCCCTGATATATACAAACCTTTTGGGGGACAGCAGATGAATGTATCTTTTCTTTTCCTGCCCAATAGCCTTTTCAATAAAAAATGTGGAATAAAATGCATAATAAAAATTTTAAAAACAGGAATAAAGTTGGAAGTATAATGCATGTTTCTTAAACAGCATATTTTAAAAACAAATGAACATATGTTAATAAGCTAGCTTTAACCACTCTACAATGTGTACATGTGCTTCAACACATCATGTTGTACATAGTAAATACATATGATTTTCTGTTAATTTAAAAAATAAATAAATTTGAGAAAAAAACCCAAACAAAACAAAACAAACAAAACAAAAAAACCTAAATGAAAATGAAAGTGATGTCTTCCATAATAAGGAGTCACATTTAGAAGAGCTTTATTTATTTGTATTTGGCAATGCTTATATGGTTACTTAATATTATTATACTCTTAACTAAAAGGTTGCCTCAAATTTTATAAAGATTTTTTTCTCAATTCACCTTTAGGATATTTGATTACTGGGGTGATAGGGCAGTCCTTAAAGAAATATTTATCATTCTCTGAGAATGGCATTCAAACATCATTGAAAACCCATAGCAATAAAAGGCAGATTCTTAGACTGTTGTATGAGGCTTTTAATTATTGTCTATTAAAAATTAAATTTTTGGAAATGCATGAAACTCCTTCATGTAGAACTGGAGATTACATGTGTGACTTTTTTTCTGTATGAGGGTTTATTTCTTTCCTTCTCTCCTCAGTCCTCAGTCCCAGCCACAAAAACACTTTTCCTAGATCCATTAGGAAAATTTAATAACCAGATATCTCTCTAATGAGAAAGGAATTTTTAAGTTTGATTGCTCTGTGCTAATAATTTGTATTTTTTTCCCCAGTCTTGCATGTTGTATGTAAGCACCACAAAAAAAATCAACCTTTTAAACAGAGATTGGTTCTGACAGCTTTTATTTTGTGTGATTTCCAAGAATTGATATATAAATGCTTCTTAATTGAAATAGTTCCCCTTTTTGTTTTTATTTTATTGTTCTTTACTTCTTGACATCTTGTACATTAAATCAAAGGCTGTTTTAGAGACATGAAATGACAGCTTTTTCAGAGTCCGATTCTGGATCCTGATACATCTGCACTTCTCAAAGCAGACAAGTTTGCTCTCCCCAGCCTCGGAGAATCTTCCTGCATGATGGGCACGTCACCTAGAAACAACATAAACTGCAGGTTAATCACTGAGGAACGGCTCATGTCAATTCCCCACTGCCCTGCTCCCTGTCTAAGAGGAATAAAGCCAAGAGTGACTGTTTCTTTGCGATTTAATTTTACAGAATCTGAACTCGGCTTTAGTTTGAAATTATATTTCTTTTGGCCAGGATGGAAAGGCTACTCATGTCATTTAGTAACGCGTTGTAAAGAAAAATCAAAGCGTCCTCATGGACTGTTTTTCCCTGTTGTATCTTCCTGTGATGAGAGAACACATAAAGTGAATGAGATGTGACAGAGGCATGCACAGAGAACCCATTTGTTACACTGAAATTCTGAGGAAAATGCTATCTGTGTTACTGTGATGTTTTGGAGTTAGAAAAGAGTTATTTGGGAAAAAAAGTGTCTTGATGTCAATGAGGAGAAATAAAAATGAGACAGAATGCAAAAATATGATAGCTCAGTAAAGAGCAGCACAACAGACCAGACCAGTCTTCCTCAGAGGGAGAAAGTAAACATCTTATAATGGAAACAGTAACAAGATGAGTATTAGAGGTTTGTTTTTCAGTTCTACCTAACTCTTTGTAACTTTACAATGTAAGATTCAGAAATTGGAGCCAATTATCATAATATGTGGTGGTTTGGTGGGAGCATGTTCTACATCAGACAGTTAAAAGGTTTTATTGCTATTAGGAGCATGTTAATGCCCTTGATAATGTCTCTACTTGCTTTGTAATGTCTCTTGTTGAAGTATAGAATTCTTTTATCTTCTTATTACATTATGCAAAAACTTGAATTGAAAAGATATTTGCAGGAACATTTAAAGTAGTGCATCAATCAGCTTCAAAGAAGAGAAAATGTTCTCAGAATAGCTTATAAAAGGATAACTGTCAGTTTTATTTTGGATGAACAAAGGCAGCAACGTAAAAAGCACTTTATTGTAAAAGCATACTGTGCAATTCAATAAATATGCCATATAAATATAAAAGAGAAGAAAGTTCATAATTATCTGATGACTTAAATGTAATTTAAGTAATACTTTTAAAATTCACCTAGCAGTGAAGTACTCTTTTTCTATTGGGTTCTGAGTTCTAGCCTCTAAGCCCCCATTAGGTGATAACTTAACTCTCTCTCTTTCTGTCTCTCTCTCTGATAGCATAAGGATTTGAATGGATTAGTTATGGTCCCATTTTCAATATATCTCTAAAAGATATAGAAAGTAGTGTGTGTGGAAAGCATTAGCAAAAATTTTAACAACCACTTAATGGTGCAGGCTTTTCAAAATGATTTGGTCTTATCTGCACAGTATTCAATTGTTTCTCATTGTCATTGCTGCTATAAGACAATTTTGAATTTGAATGTAACTGTATTGTGACTTGAAATAGCAGTTCCCAGTGTTTTATATTTGTTAGGAAAAGCCATTAGCAGTGCAATTTCTGGACTTTCTAAATCAGGGGTGCTTTATTACTTTTTATGTAAGGGTACTTACAATTTTCTTACAATTAGAAATCTTTTTTCTTAAGACAGATGGTTTTTTAACTGTAAATGCTAACTATACAAGCTTATTTTTCCAGTGTTTCCCAGGTAATGAACTCTCACCTCATAAATGCTGCAGAGATGATTGTTTTTGATAACACTAAAAAATCTACAACGCGAACTACTTATTTAAAGAAAATATTCAGATCCACATGGAAAATATAATATATTTTTAGAATAGGTAAAAATCATCTATAGAAAGGAACTTCCCTATAACTTATGTTTCTACACGTGTCAATATGCATCTGAGCATGGACAGCTAGCTCCCTGCATGGAGAAGGCACTTTTCAAGTATTTGTTGATTAAGGTTAGGATATAAAAATATCCCAATAAGTAAAAATCTGTCTTTTGCTTTATAACCTGACAAAAGGATACAAATCCCTTATTAAATATAGTAATAATAAGTTTTCCCCAGGCTCGGGTCTTTTCAAGACTCAAAAGATTTCATTTGAAGTCAGAAAGCCAGGTTAATTCATGCAGCCACACTATTGTACCTTGTAAAATTATATTGTTTGTAACACTTATAAGAAATAATTTTCAGTTGTTTTAAAACTACAAATATGGCACCTTATAATAAGAAATCAATTCATAACTTCATTTGTGACATCATTTTGCTGGCGACTTATTTCTCATGGCTATTGTTCATGATACCTAATTCATTCAAGTAATTTTCTCCTTCTTTCAGTGGGCTTCCTACAGACTCTACAGACACGGTTCTCAGTCCACTGCTACCTTCTGAGAGACCCCATTTTCTCATTGTTCCTTTCTCTTGGTCTGTTTGTGACCACTCTCATTTTGAAAGTACAAGGAAAATTATCTCATAAAAGAAATGTAATAACAACAGAACTTCTGAGATTTCAAAAATGTGAAATTCTTAAGTTATTGAACTATGGGAAAAGCTGTAATTTATAACCAGTAAGTTAGTATGTTGTACACATCTGTGTACTGTTTCAGAAAATAAAGGTTGTTACCATAGCAACCACCACATAATATAGAACATACGTTATTTGTGAGATGCCAGCCTTTGTGTTAAAAAAAAAAATCCTTCCTCATGGCTTCTCCCTGGTGTTTCAAGGATTTCAATGTTTTCTTTACTATAATAAGGGATCCTCTTTTTTAGTGTCCTGTTTTTTAAGTATTTTCCTTATTTTCATTTTCTCATTCTTTTAGGGTTTGTTAACTAAATTGGTAAGTTTGTGTAGTACTGCTATGATCTGGTGACTGCTTCTAATACATTTCTCAGCTAGTCTTAATTTGTTAATTTTTAATAAATTAGAGTTCCACTTTCAGATATAGCAACATGTATATATATTGAGAATACATTTAGTACTATAAATACAACAGATAAAGCAACTGGTGACATTTTATTTTTTGGCTTTTTGAAGGTTTTATAATTTTGTATTTTATGACCAGTATGGTATTTAACCACTTTTTAAAACTAAAAATGTCACTTAGAAGTATGTATCTATTTTACCGTTGTCATTTTTTATTTTAAAATTTGTGTCATTTAACACCTAAAGAAGTGTAGGTTTCTAGTCTTTCTTGGTAAGTGGTAATGCCAAAGGATAAGAAAGTTGACAAATAATTTGGAAGTCTCAATTTTAATCTAAGTAATTTTAGTTTTAAAGGCAGAATAATGAATCACTAAAAGGAAAGAGGCAATAATGCAAAATGGAGGACCCTTCAATATAGCTGGGCAAGGCATCAGAATGTCCAACTGCTTTGAAATTAGTCTGAAAACATCTGGACACATTAGAACAATGATTTTTGGACTCAATGTTCTCATCCACACTATGGCAGAGATTTTTGATATGTAGATGTATCTGATAAGATTGGATTTCTTGTGCATGGTGAATTTTTAGCCCAGATTCAATATAATATTGCAAACATTGACATATTATATCAGGTTAGAGGTTTTCCAAAGAATAGCATCTGAATTTTCCTTTGCTAGGTACCAGCTTTCCTTAGAGACAGCTACCTCTGTATCTTTGGAATGGTTCTCTGTCACAAAAATGTACTATATCAATCCTGAAAACAAAACACTTCTGGTGAAAAATGGCAGAATAGACAATACTCCTCCTTCCTTAAAAATAATAGTTTAATCAATAAACATTTATTAAACATCTACCATGTGCCAGGCTACTTTTGGGGATGTAAAGATGAATAATGGTGCTTCCTTGTCTCCAGGGAACTCACAAATTTGATCAGAGAGAGAAGTGCACCACTAGCTGACACAGAGAGCTGTGTGCTGCAACCTGATCTTTCCACAGGCCTCATCAGTCAGCAGACAACAACAGCAACAAACAGTAATCATAGCCGACATTTACTGAACACTTAACTTTTTGACAGGCATCTCAGATGCGTTGTGTAATTCAATCCGCACAATAGTGCTCTGAGGGTTTTATTGACAAGAAACTGGCCTTAAAGCGTTGGAATAACTTGCCTAAGGTTACGCAGTGGAATAAGGGTTCTCATGCCTGTTATACCTAAAATATTACCTAAAACAATACACCTTGATCACTTGTTGCACCTGCACTGCCACCATCCCCATCCCTGGCACCTCTGTCTCTCACTGGGCTCTGCAGTAGCTGCCCGATAGACTTTCTTGCTGCCTTCTGGCCCTATGATCCATCTTCCAAACACTGGAAATCGACTCTTCTTTAGCTCCCAGGGCGGCCTTGTAAGAACGTAAGCCAGATCACATGCTCCCTGCTTGGACTTTTCCAGTGACTTTCCATTACATGCAGAACAGAATCCCAGCCTTTTTCCATGGCTTACAAGGCCCTGCAGAGTTTGCCACCCTTCCCCGACCCCTTAAACTTCATCTCCTATTGTTCTCCCGGTAGCTTGTTTACAATGCTTTAGATGAGGATTGGCACACTTTTCAGCACAGGGCCAGATATAAACATTTTAGGGTCTGCAGGCAATACATTCTCTCTTGCAGCTACTTAACTCTGCTAGTATAGCGTGAAAGCAGACATAGATAATAAATAAGCAGATGAGTGTGAGTATGTTCCAATAAAACTTTATTGACATAAACAGGCAGCAGGCTGGATTTGGCCCGTAGACTGTAGTTTGCTGGTCCTTGTTTTAGACTTACTATATTTCTTTTTGTTCCTCCAATTTGCCAAGCCCTTCCTACCTGAGGGTTCACCTCAGATCTTCCCCAGGCTGCCTCTCTGGCCACTGCATCCTCACTGTGAATGAGAGACTGACGTGGCTTCTCTATTTAAGTAGTTTGCTCTGCTCATTTCAACGCATCACTACCTGCTTTACTGTCTTCACAGCTCTTACCACATGCAACATCTCATTAATGTGCTTGCTGACGTATTTAGCAACTGTGTCTCCCTCTGACAGGTGAACATCCTGTGAGGGGGCTGCTTTCTACCTCGCTCGCTGTGGTGTTTCTACCAACTGGAGCAGAGCCTGTGGCATGAAGTAGGTACCTAGGAAGTGTTTTCAATTGAATGGAGTATAAGCCTGACTGATTCTAAAGCTTGTGCTTTCTATGATTTCCCAATATTCCTCTTCTGGAAGAGCCCACACTAATGGTAATTTGAGGAATTTGTCACACCAGATTCATGAGGACCTGGCAAAGCTTCACCTCCATGCACTTCTGGTCGACCCCAAGGAATTGCTCCCATGGACATGTGAATAAGGTTGACATCTACTCTATGGTGTCCCCGGAGTGTTGACATCTCATGCTGTTCATCACTGCCTTTGCGGTCAGTGACCCACGCCTACTGGGTGTCATCACCTCCAACAGGCTTCTGTCACTTCTCCTGCATGGTCTGCACTCACTGAGCACCTTGAATGTCTTGAGACACCACCTGTGGTGCCATTGCCCCTGCTGAGACCACCTGGTGATGCCATTGCCCCTGCTGCCACCTCTGTCTGAGCAGCACTGCCCCCTCATGTGCCCAAGCCTTCTGCTGGGACTACCCTTGCTTCTAGTCCTACCACGATGCCACCACTTCAATGAGCTAAGCTGCTTCTAATTGAAGTGGAGTTAGGAAGATCACCCTCTTTAAATTTCCCTCAATTCAGTGGTTCTGAATTAGTGTGGCTTGTGCTCCCAAACTGAAGAATTTTAAACTTTTACTTACCACGATCTCTCTTCCTAAATGTAGTACCCGATGCTTACGCGAAGCTCATTGTGTGCCCGGCAGTGTTGAGAGAGTTTTACATACATTAACTTGTGTGATGCTCACAACAGATCCATGTTATCTCCACAGAGGTTAACTGACTCACTCAAGGCAACCAATAAGCAACAGAATTGAGATCTGAATCCAGGCAACTGGCTTTAGATTCATGATGTTAATCACCCATCCACAAGGACCTAGACATGTGTCCATGGGGCTAGATTTGGCATAAATGCAAGAAATTGACATCACACTCCAAAGCTCTACTCCACAGTCACCCTAGGGCTCACAAGCCTCTCAGTGCTATGTGACTCCTGAGTGCACATCACTGGCTTGCTAGATCTGTGTAAGGATGTCTGAACTGAGGCTGAACCAAGGACTGTTCTCCTTATGCTCTTCTTTGAGTAAGGTGCTAAGGTAGACGTTTGAACTGTGTCTTTAACACAAAGGAGTCATGAACTATGTAGGGAAGGATGAAAATTGAACCTCATCCTGAAAGATGAACATGATTTTGCCAGGGACTTTAGAAATGGACATAACCAGACCAAGGGGCTAGTGCAACCTGTATTCCCTACAAGACAGAGAACAGGCTGGGGCATGGCAAGAGAGAAGGCTGAGAAAGTAGAATGAGCTGAATTTTGAAGAGACTTGATGTGAAGGAATTTGGACTTTATTTTCTAGGCAAGCATAGGAGTGGGAAGGAGAGGCAACTAGTAACAGTTTTAACACGTGAAAGCTAGATACAAAGAGCTCCCTGATATTCCTGTCGAGAGGAGGTTTTGAATCTATGGTTCAAAGGCCACTTGATGTCTCCTTGGTCTGTGGGTGGTCTGTGGACTCACCTCTTCCAGTATCGATTGGGACAGGACTCCACCTTCATGGCTGTCATGTGAACTAATGATTGACAATGCCCCTCATCAAAATCAGTTCCTTGTTCCTCATTCCTTGCAATAAAGTTTACCCTCTCTATATCTGTTCCCACCGCCTGCCCCAGCAGGAGTGGAGGTGATTCCTGAGTGTTGTTATGTTGGAGTGGCCCCAAGAAGTTCTAGAACTAATGCTCCAGAGGATCTCAGCCATGCAGATGATGTCATGCCTGATTGTTGTAAATGGCTTTATCCTGGTTAACCAGTCTTCTGGGCCCTAAATCTCCCAGCCACCTCCCAGCAGGGATGATTACAAATGGACTCACCCTTAGTCTAGGAAGCTGCCCGGCAAGCATGGTCATCTCTGATGACTTTGGAGACTGTCCAGTTTTCACGTCCACCAATTAGGCAGTTATTCACACTTCCTTTTACTTACTCACAGGGCTCCCTTCTGACTGGCACACTTGTGAAGTTCTTCTGTGACAACATGATGTTCCAGATAAACATCCCTTTGGGAATCAAACGCCCCTTTGGAATTGAGTCTCTTTTATCTAAACCACTTTTTGAATCTTGTCAGCTTTGTCTGTAAGAAATATTTAGACTTATCTCGCTCTTATCAGAACAGAGGTCTTACTTCTTTGGCAAGTACATATAAAACGGTAGGCCGGGTGCGATGGCTCACGCCTGTCATCCTAGCACTTTGGGAGGCCGAGGCAGGAGGATCACCTAGTCAGGAGTTCAGGACCAGCCTGGCCAACATGGTGGAACCCCATCTCAACTAAAATACAAAAAAAAAAAAAAAAATTAGCCTGGTATGATGGCAGTTGCCTGTAATCCTAGCTATTCAGGAGGCAGAGACCGGAGAATCGCTTGAACCCAGGAGATGGTGGTTGCAGTGAGCCGAAATCGCACCACTGCACTCCAGCCTGGGTGGTTGAGTGAGACTCCATCTCAGAAAACAAATCAAAACACAACAAAAAACTGCAGGGGAGAGCAGCCCAATCCATCTGTTTTATGTGTCCCCCCACTTCACCTGCTTCTAACCCTTGATCCCTCAGCCTAAGGACTAGAAAATGAGGGAAGTGGGGAGTGATTCACAAGACTCATGGATCCCGCAGGAGAGCAGCACATCATTTCATGAGCCTTGTGAGGAATTAGAAAGAACAATTAGTGCGAAGAAACATTCATCATTCTTATAACTTGTTTGCTGTTTTTCCAGGGTCAGTCCAGGCACGTCAGCTTTTCTAATCCCACGACGTTCCAAGTTTTTAAAACGCAGGACCTTTTCTTTTCAAAGGAAATTTCCAATGATGGCTCTGTTAAAGAGACAGAAGTGGAGCTGTGGTGGTTGAAGGAGGTGGTGGAGCCTAGTGCTCCTTTCCCTTATCCCATAGTACCCCCACCCTCCATCAAAGGTAGGGCTCTGGGGAAAGAGGGGTGGAAACCTCTGCTCTACCCTACCCATGGATTCTGACATTCACTCTAGGGGTGCAGCTTATATAAAGAAGGATGTAAAGGAACATTTTAAGAATGACCTATTTTGTCTTAATGGTGAATAACTCTGGACTTCCCTTGGTTACCACTGGAAATGGAAAGACTTCTTCAGGATAGTAGAAAGAACACCAGAACACAATGGTTCTCGGATACAGCCTTCTCGAGAATCTTCTTTGTCTTTTTTCACTCTCTCAAAATTACTCGTGTAATGTATTGCATGCGATACTCCTCCCACCAAAAAGGGAAAATTATTCTTTTTCTTCAGCTCTAATTTTCGCTCTGTGTTCAATGGTGGAGGTGGGAGTGGACACTAAATCACACAAAATATCTATCCCACAACCACATAAAGAAAAAGCCAACAGCTGGCCATTTTTAGCCTAATTCTAACTTTTTTGGAGAACTCGGAATATAACATTTCGAAGTCACCCATATATTAAAACTCAAAAGAGTGAACAAAGAACTTTACAGAAAGAAATTCAATAATAAAAGTCGACGTTACACAGTTATAATCAGTTCAGTTGGTGAAAGGCAGTTGAGGAGGAAAGAAAGGAAGGGAAGGTGGGAAGAGAAGGGAAGACAGAGGGAGCTCAAGATACGGAGGTGCGGGAGCGTGGGAGGCGAGGATGGCTCTTCCCGCACCTGCACCCTTGCACACTTGGTTTCTTCCCTCTGTGGGAGCCCCACGCAGTGTCCCTCATTTGTGGGCGATCCTTGCCTGGTGCTCAGCGTCACTCCAATCCTGCCCTATGGTGAGCCGCGGAGCCACCAGAGGCAACCCACGCCATCTCCACAACTTGCCTGAGGAGCTCCTCTACCCTTTGCCTTCTTGGGAGGAAACTTGGTCAAAAAATTCCTGCATCTTGCCCAGAGTGCTTCTCCAGACCCACTCTTGGCACGCAAGGAAAGTCCTTGTGCTGTGGTGCTTTTGGTCCTTATGAAAAATGTTTTTCATGAATTAAAGGGAAAAGTAAACATGAGAAATATTTGGTTCTTTACTGGGGCTTTCATTTTCTTCCAAAAATTTTCTGAGAAGTACTTTTCTTTTTCCTTAAGAGCTCAGCTCTTGATGAAGAAGTGATTTTTCTAGGACACTTTCCTAAACTTTAGTCAGCTACATACTTCTTTCATGATCTTTGCTTTACCTGCATACCGTCTGCACTTTTTTCTCAATATTTTCTTTCTGTCGATTTAAAATGGAATAATTTAGCCTTATTCTTTGATAAATTCTGATTATTGACAAAATTGGTGAAATCACAAGTGTGTTACATTGAAAAATAACAGATAACTGAAATATTGGGGTATAGGCAACTAAAATGATCTCAGCAGTGTCAAATCTCCCCCGTTTGGGAAATATCATTTGAGGAAATGGCCTGCTATTGGTTTATGACCGAATACAAACCTAGGGCTGGTTACAATTGTCCAATACATATCAAAGAAGAAAGAAATGGGAAAGCTGATGGACTAGGAAAGAAGCTATAGACCCCAGCATAATGTTTATTAAAATCTTGGAATTCTTTTCAAGATCAATTACATTTATATGCACTTATTATATATATGTATTACATTTACATCCCAGTTAAGAGTGATGAAGTTATTCTAAGTCTATTGCCCAAAAGATGATTATTCACAAGGGCTTGAGAAAGGTACTTTTCTTATTGGTTTCAGCAAGTAATTGTCAGGAACATCTTCCTGAAGGTGGTGTGGTGGTCCTCTCATTGCTGTACATTTGTTCTTCCTAAAATAAACAGGATTTCTGTGAGTAAAAAAAAATCATACTACTTAATAATACTCTTGATTAACTGAGTAACTTTGTGGTTTCTCAGGAAAAAGATAAAATTGGGTTGTATTATTACTTTATGTTTTTCTCTTTGGCATGGAGTTTCCTTTTCAGATTCCAGGGTAAATAGAACAAAGGATCAGTTTTTATAATTTTTTTTTTTAAAGAGCATCTTCTGGTGTCTCATTATTTGGAGATAACTATGAAAAGAAAGATCGGGAAAACAGAAAAGCACGTAATTTACAGTAATAGTAATTTTTTTGTTTATATGTCTTTTTGGGTGCTTTTTTCTGGGAAAGACAGAAAGGAATAATTTTCTCTTTTTCCTCTCTTTTGCAAAACTCATTGATGCAACACAATGCATGTTGCATAATAATCACAGATATCAAGACTTTGGGGAAGCAGGGTTTCAAGTAAACATGCTGTACAAAGTATTTTATGAAAATTTCAATTTTTGTGTTTGAGGATAATAAAAGGGTTCCTTTGCCTCTTAGAAAAGAAATCCTAAAAGCAAATGAACAAACGGACTCGGTCCACGGACACCTAGCCAAGACTGTCTCTGAGAAGAATGACAGGCCTTCAGCATGAAGTAGCTACAAGAAAAAGACATGTAATTAAGGAGGAAAAAAGTCAGACACTGGAGCCATTAAAGAGACTGTGATATGAGGAAAACATTGTACAGGAGATGTGACCGAAGATCTCAGATCTGAGAACTGAAAGGGAATGAAACTAGTTAAAATTCCACTGCTCATTCGCTCCATGGGAGAAATAACACTCCTGTGTAATGCCACTTGCCGCTTCATTTTTAGAAACAATTAAAAGATGCAAATATTTGTGAATCACTGTGCCTGTTGTAATCCTATTTTGAAAACAAACACTGCCTTGTACTTTAGGTTCTCCATGCTGGTTGCTGTTGGGATTCAGGGGTTAAAGCAAGCACTTCCAAATGAGCTCACTACTGCTACCCAGACAAAGGGATGCAACTCTGAGAGTGTCTTCTGTCTTCCTGCAAGCTGTTGCCTGTGCCAAATGAGCATTTTGAAAACCATTCAAATTAAGTTGAAAATTTGTAATTATATTTTCCCTTTTAATTGTAACTTATGCAAATGTTATATTCCAGCTGTACAAATAATTTTCATTTCAGACAACAACATTCACATTAAATCTAGCATGTAACACCCCGATACAAGATTTTTCCCAAGCTGCAGTTGCAGATTTAGAGGGCTAGCGTTGGCCCTGTTAGTTATGGCTTCCATTGCTGTTACCCTGCAGTTAAGTGTAGATTGCAAAGTGGCAATAGAGAAGGGAGCCACTTTTGCCATGGTTTGCTGGAGACAATTTGTGAATAGAACACATAGGAAGAGACTGAGGAAGCAAACGCACACACGCAAAGGTGCAACATCCAAGAAACTTGGATGTTTGGTAAAGGGAGTGTTGTGTCCTTGCTGTAATTGATGAATTCGGCTTGCAGTGCATTAGTTACAGGAAGGGAATGCGTGTGACTCATTTGTTAATTGTCAACCACTTAGTGCAAGCAGAAATGGAGTATTTTCCATTTTCAATGAAAATTTCTCTTTGAGATTTTTATGTACAAAACCAATAGAGTTTTTAACCAAGAGTGAAATAAGCATAGATTGTTTTAAATACATGCACACACACAATATTTAAGGGATCACATATATCTGAGAAATAAAACAAAGGAGAAAAACCCTATAGAAATGCAGCATATTGTTCTGATTCTCGGAGAGTTTTCTTTACATAAATTTGGGAAGGTTTTCATATTCTTGGTAGGGAAACACAAGGAACCTTGATTTACTTCAATCTAGTTCACTGCTGATCAGCTTTTTGTATTTAACAGTGTTCTGGAAGCAATGGAAGAGACAAAAAAAGAAAGTTTCTGACACATCCTCAAGTAATTCACAAACTTGGTGATAAACAAGGCAAACTTACGGAATAAGATGGACTATAATAAAATGACATGTGTGTGTTTATAGACCTAGCAGAGAGTTCAACACTTCATTACTCAGCTGGACAAACTGTGATTTAGTGTGGCTTAGTAATTTGTTTAAGGTCACACATCTAATAGTGGATAACAATATGTTGGAAACCTAGAAGGTCTAACTCCTGTCCTTTGTTTTTCCATCATTAAGGTATTTGTCAATTGTAAGCTG